TAGCTCAGTTAGTTGGAGTGTGGTGTTTTAACATCAAGGTCAAGAGTTTGGATCTCTGTACCAGCCAAAAATAAAAAATAAAGAAAGAAAGAAAAATGAAAACCACTGAACTGTACACTTTAGGGGGGTGAATTTTATGGAATGTTAATTATATCTCAATAAAGCCTTTTTTTTAAGAAATGGGTAAAGAGCAAAAATAAATACTTCTATCTCATAAATGACTCTTAATCCAACATTTTACTTTATATTGACTTTTTTTTTTACATTGTCTTTTTTTTTTTTTTTTTTTTAAGATGACCGGTAAGGGGATCTCAACCCTTGGCTTGGTGTTGTCAGCACCACGCTCAGCCAGTGAGCGAACCAGCCATCCCTATATAGGATCCGAACCCATGGCCTTGGTGTTATCAGCACCGCACTCTCCCGAGTGAGCCATGGGCCAGCCCTACATTAATTCTAATTATAAAAGTAATGCATGTGGATTAAAGAAACTGTTAAATATAGAAGAGTTGACTTCTAAAGTCAGCACAAATCTCACCAATCAATATTGAGATTTCCATTTTCTTTCCATGGAGTAAACATCAGTCTATTAAGTATTTCTCTTTATAACTGCAGTAGGATGATTTGCTTTCCCAATTTTTAAAATAATTCTCAGTGTATGCTCCTTTTCTAAAGAATATTGTTCATAGGGCCAGCCCGTGGCTCACTCGGGAGAGTGAGGTGCTGATAACACCAAGGCCCCGGGTTCCGATCCCATATAGGGATGGATGGCCAGTTCGCTCACTGGCTGAGCGTGGTGCTGACGGCACCAAGTCAAGGGTTAAGATCCCCTTACTGATCATCTTTAAAAAAAAAAAAAAAAAGAATATTGTTCATATATATAAATTCAGATTATGGCTGGTCTCAACTTAAAACCTTCTCCTTAATCCTCTTTAATTACTATTGGTACTTTGTTTTCATAACTTCTTTTTCCTTTTGTTTTTGGCAGCTGGCTGGTACAGGGATCAAACTCTGGACCATGGAGTCATCAGTAGCACACTCTAACCAACTGAGCTAACCAGCCAATACAGTAACTACATGTAGCTATTTAAATTTAAATTAATTAAAATTTAATGAAATAAAATAGTCAATTCCTCAGTCACACTGGCCACAATTCAAGTATTCAATAGCTGTATGTAGCTAGAGGTTACCATATTGGACAGCACTGCTACAGATCTTAGCATTTTCAAAAGCAGTATTATGAAAAGCATTTTCTCTCTCCTGATATCTTATTTCTTTATTATTATTAATTTCAAACATTTATCAGAGAATACACATACAGGTAAAAAAAAATCAAATATTCTTGATCCAGACACTGATATACACAGGTGTGTTCACCTGGGTTAATTTAACAAGCTGAAAAGATGATTTAAACCCTTTTCTGTATGTAGACTGTTATACATCAATTAAAAATTTACAAAATTTTTTACAAAAATCAAATATTATTTAAAACAGTAGTTTTCCTGCAACACTCCTCTGCTCCAGTCCTGTTCACCAGAGGCAATTACTCCTAATTCATCTAGCCATTTCCCTTGGAATTTAACTACATATATCTAAATAATATGCCTATGCTGCCATTTCTCAATTTACCAGTTTTAGATATTATCTACTTTCTACCATATTAGTTGAGAACTTATTTTATACTCTTCATGCTACATTTCCTGACCATCTTCCTGACAGTTTTAATTTTAATTAGCCAGTGTTTATGATTATTTAAATATTACTCAGTGCTGAAGCAAATAGTGCAATGTAATCATGCTTCTCTTGTACAACCTTTTATTTTTTCTGAACTTCGTAACTGCCTCATTCTTTGCTTGATTTTTCACATAAATGTTTCTAAATGCTCCCACATCTCTGCCAAAGGCCTATTAGTCATATTAATTCCATTTTTTGTTCATTTGATTTCCCTTCTTTTCTGTAACTTAAATTCATCATCTCATAAACTCCAACAAGGGCAGAAAACTTAAATTTGCTACTTTAGGTAAATCAGTTACTTCTTGTTTAAAAATCTCATTTGAGTAAAATATTTAATCGATATCAGAATTTCAACTCTTTCACCTTGTCATTTTATCCTAAGGTGATCTAAGTTTCTACAGGGACTTGGGTATTATTCTGGCATTGGAAGAAGGGAATCTGATCCTTTTACAGTCTTCTGTCCTAGCTGGTCTCTGCTGAGTTGTAGTTTACACCCACCTGTCTTTGGACTTTATGTGCGAATAAGGTAGGGTTCCTACCTTGGCCTCTACTTGGAATCCTTCTTACTCCAACTCTAAGTCTCTTCCAGTTTGCCAGAATTTCTCAGATGTTCCACATCCATTGGGCACTTGTGAACTCTCAGCTGCTTTTTTTTTTTTTTTTTTGGTCCTTTTTGAGACTGGCCGCACCGCGCTTAGCCAGTGAGTGCCCTGGCCATCCCTATATAGGATCCGAACCCATGGCCGGAGCACTGCTGCGCTCCCAGCACCACACTCTCCCGAGTGCGCCACGGGCTCGGCCCAACTATCAGCTGCTTTGCCTATCATATTGGTGTGTGGGGAAGGAATATGTAAGGTTGCCTTTAGGTCCATCTGCCTAGGCATCTCCCTCAAAGATGGCTCAGGCTACTCTACTGCTCAGGCACTATGTTCAATGTTGGGCTTCTCTAAGAGTCTGGCAGTCCTCTAGACTATACTCTGAAAAGTGAAGCACAGAATTTCTCTGCATAGAGAATCTCCTCAATCAGCTATCCCATCCTCACTTCAACCACCAGGGCCAAGGTCCAGTAGAGTAACATATGGGAATGCTAGGTCTTGTCTCAGGCACCCACAAATTGCTAAACCTTAATCCCTCTGCCTTAGATTTACCACTTTCTGCCTGTTGGTTGAATCCTTACTTCTTTTTGGAGAGTGTATTAGTCTGTTTGGGCTGCTGTAACAGAATACTATATAGACTGAGTAGCTTAAACAACAGACATTTATTTCTCACAGTTCTGGATGCTAGGAGGTTGAAGATCAAGGGGCCAGATGATTCAGTTCCCTGGTGAGGGCTCTATTTCTGGCTTGCAGCCAGCCACCTTCTCACTGTGTCCTCTCATGGTGGAGAGACAGCAGTATCTCTTCCTCTTTTTATAAAGCCACTACAGCCCCACCATCATGACCTCATCTAATCTTAATTACCTCCCAAAGGCCCCATCTCCAAAACCCATCATGTTGTGGGCCGGCCCGTAGCTCACTCAGGAGAGTGTAGTGCTGATAACACCAAGGCCACGGGTTCGGATCCCATATAGGCATGGCCAGTTGGCTCACTGGGTGAGCATGGTGCTGAGCACAAAGTCAAGGGTTAAGATCCCCTTACCAGTCATCTTTATAAAAAACAAAACAAAACAAAACAAAACAAAAAACCCCATCATGTTGGGTGTTAGGACTTCAATATATGAATCTGGGGGTTAGAGGGAGACACAATTCAGTCCATAGCAAAGAGATAATTTTTGCATCATCATGTGATGCATTCTTCACAACTCTATAGATCCTGGCATAAACATGAAATATGAAGCCTTGCTATACTGGCTCCTTGGAACTCACAATGCCTTAACAAAATCTAGTTCTTTCAAATAAAGGCTTTGCTTTTTAGTTAAATAAACCATGACTCATCTACAACAACAGAATATTCTGCCAATAAAAGATAAAAATAGGAATGAGGATACTCTATAGGTGTGGATATGGAAAGCTATCTAGAATATACTAAGTGAAAAAAGCAAGGTGTAAAACAGCATGCATCATAGTTTGCTACCCTTTTGTGTGTAAGAAAGGGGTGAAATAAGAATAGATTGATCATCCCACAAAGTAGGGAAAGGAAAAAAAAATAGATTGATCAATCAATATTTGTTTTATACCCCTTCCTGGCCAGCTGCCAAAAAACAAACAAAACATATATTTGTTTATATCTTCATTAAAAAACCCAGAAAATTCACAACAAGCTAATTCAAATGCTTATCTATAGGGGGCAGTGAAGAAAAATGAGATGAATGAGCACAGGGGTGACAGCAAAACTTCTTAGTGTACCTTTTTATCTCCTCAATGTGTGAGTCATGGAAATTTTATCTATTCAAAAAATATGGGTAAGTTTTGCTTTCAAGTGTATTGTTTTTATTAATTACATGTTTTTTTTTTTTTGTTTGCTTTTTTTAAAAAGATGACCGGTAAGGGGATCTCAACCCTTGGCTTGGTGTTGTCAGCACCATGCTCAGCCAGTGAGCAAATCGGCCATCCCTATATGGGATCCGAACCCGCGGCCTTGGTGTTATCAGCACCACACTCTACCGAGTGAGCCACGGGCCGGCCCTTAATTACATGTTTTTATAAATCCATTCAGATATTCAATGGTCTTCTCAGTGACTCTAGACTACCTTGTCTTCTAGTTCACAAATGGTGACCTAGTAGCATTAGCAAAACACCAATCTTGGTTAAATCCAATTCTCCACCTATTTTGTACCCTTGCCCGATCAACTGACTAGACAAAACCCAACTAAAGAACATAACCAAGGTGACTGATCTCATTTTATATTTACAACCACAAATGTCTAAAAGACTATGTCTTCATCGGTACCTGGAAATTCTAATACATCTTTCTAGTTAATTCAGTCTCCTATTCAGAGATGACTATTTCACACATTTTCTCTTCTCAAACCTCCCATACTGCATCCCCAATCTTTACATTTAGCTAATTACCCCCCCTCCCTCTTTTACCAGAGAAAGAAAAAAAAAGAAAGAAAAAAGTCTGAAGAAAAAAATCCACAGGGAGGCTGTTTGGTTAGCTCAATTGGTTAGTGCGTGGTGTTATGACACAAAGGTCAAGGGTTCCAACTGACAAATACACAAGGTCCTACCGCCACATCAGTTATTAGTTACAATTAGTTGCAAATAACACAAATATGTGCGTGCGTGCACGCACACACACACACACACGAAAAAAGGAAAAAAGGTAAGTGTGGCTTAAACAAATTATTTTATTTTCTCCCATAATGTGAAGTCCAAAAGCAGGCAATCCCGGGCTTGTATGGCAGTTCCATGATGTCATCAGGAACCTAGACTCTATCTTCTTCCGTCCTTAGCTTTAGGTCACTTTATTTTCCTAAGATGTTTGCTAGAATTCCAGCCATCCTGTCAACATTCTAGGCAAGAAACAGAAAAAGGGCCAAAGACACAGGCCAGCTCAGTCAATCAGGTTTTAGAAACTTTCTCAGAAGCCCCACCAAACAACTTCAAACAACTCACCAGAATTTAGTTACATGTACACCAGTAGTGTAGTTGGAACAGAAGCTGGGCAACCTGCTCCCAACAAAATCAGGATCCTGTGATCAAGGAAGAAGGAGAGAACTAGGAGAAATTACCCATTTTCTATTTCAGTAGAGTAGGGGAGAGAAAACAAGCAATCAGAAGATAAATTCACATGTTCCACCACCAAATCTAACTGCCAACCTGAATCTGTACTCATATACTCTGGCTTCCTCCTGTGTGCCAGTGGATGAGTAGTGTGAGTCTTTCCAAGGCTAACCCTTCTAGTGTTGCACTGGATTCCTTCCCATTTCACTACTCTAAAACTTTGCTCCATCAATTATCTCTTTTCTCCACATCATCAAATTTTCCCTCTTCTGTTTACTACTATTAGCAAACAAATAAGCAAAAATATCTCCCATCTTAAAAAACAAAAACAAAAAAAAAACCTCCCTTTATTGAAAATCCCTATCCAGCTATACCATTAGTACCCTTGTCTCTAATCCCTTAAAGCAAAATTCCTCAAAGAGGTTTTTAATTCCACTTTTTCCACTTCCTTGCCTTGCATTCTCTCCTGAATCCACCTGAATCAAGCCTTCATTCATACCTACTGCTCCACTGAAGCCACTCTTGTCCCGCTCACCAGTGGACTTCATATTGCCAAATCTCATAGCCAGTTCTCAGACCTCATGTTACTCAGCCTCCCAGAAGGTATAATTATCACTCACTCCTGCTTGAAACACTTTCTTCACTGATTTCCAGAAAACCACACTCTTCATTATTTTCTTCCAACACCTCTGGCTGCTCCTTTTCACTTTCCACTACTGAATCCTCTTCGTAACTTTTAAAAGCTGGAGTGCTCTAGGGTTTGGTTCTTGAACTTCTTCTTTTAATCTATACTTGTTCTCTAGGTGATCTCATCCATCTATACTAATGACTTGAAATTTATCTTCAGTATGACCTCTTCTCTGCACATTAGACTGTTGCCTAATCAACATCTCTACGTAGACCTCTAACGCACTGCATCTCAAACTTAACATGTCCAAAACTGAACTTTGGATTGCCTCTTTTTCTCTATACCTGGTTCCTTCAATATACCCCAGTGTTGCTCAGGCCAAAACCGTTGGAGTCATGACTGACTTCATCTCTTTCTTTCTCACCCTACATACAACCCATTAATAAATCCTGTCAGCTCTGCCTTCAAAATAGTCAGAAACCCACCACTTCCTACTACCTCCACCACCGCCACTCTTATCTCTTATCTGCATTACTGCATTTCCCTTCTAATTTATCTTCCTTCTTCCACTCTTACCCTCCTATGGTTTACTCTCATAACAGCCAGAGCAATCCTTTTAAAATCTAAAATAGAACATGTCACACCTTTGCTCCCAAATATCTAATGGCTTCCCATCATTTCTAGAATAAAACACAAAGTCTAATAAGACCCATGGCTAATAAGACCTTTACATGATCTAGACCCTACGACCTCTCTAATCTCATTTCATAACACTTTCTCCCTTGCTTACTTTGCTCTGGTCTCACTAACCACCTTCTACTTTTTTTCGGTGGCTGGCCCAGTAAGAGGATCCAAACCTTTGACCTTTCCCTGACCTTCTTAGTACTGCTTTCAAAAGACATACAACCCAGTTTCCAGTCCAGCATATAAGGTTGAAAGTCACTGCTCCATCCTAACAAGTAAAAATCTAAACAAACAGAAAAATCAACAACTCTTTTTAGATCTGTAAGAGAGGTAAAGTCAAAGAAGTAAAGGAGAAATAAAGACTTTCTTGAACAAATAAAACTTGGGGAAATTTGTTGCCAGTAGACCTGCCTTGCAAGAAATGTTAAAAGAAGTTTTGTTTGTTTGCTTTTTGTTCTTTTTTTGTTTGTTTGTTTGTTTGTTTTTATCTATTTATTTTGGTGGATGGCCAAAACAGGGATTAAACCCTGGACCCTGGTGTAAGAAGTTCTTTAGAGAGGAGGAAAATGACGTAGGTCAGAAACTCAAATCTACACATAAAAAAAGAAGCTCATTGAAAGGAATAAGTGAAGGTAAATGAAAATTTTACTGTTCTTATTCTTAGTTGACCTAGTGTGTTCTAAATAATAATAGCAATGATTTATTTGATTTTGTATGTATGCTTGCACATAAGTGAAATGATTGACAGCAATGATACAAGGAAAAGGAAGGAGGAATTAGGACTATTTTCTGACTATAAGGTTCCCGGCACTACTCATAAAGTGATATAGTGTTATTTTTGAAAGTAGACTTGGATTAGTTATAAATGTATAGTGCATGCTCTAGGGCAAACAACTAAAAAATGAAAAAAAATATAACTGATATGCTAAGAAAGGAGAGAAAATGCAATCATAAAATACTCAGCTAAAACCATAACAGGTGGAAGAAGAGTGGAAGACAAAAATAGGAACAAAGAACAAGGATGAGTAGAAAATAGTAACAAATATGGTAGACATTAACCTATATCAACAATCACTTTGGGGCCGGCCCGTGGCTCACTCGGGAGAGTGTGGTGCTGATAACACCAAGGCCCTAGGTTTGGATCCCATATAGGGATGGCTGGTTCGCTCACTGGCTGAGCATGGTGCTGACAACACCAAATCAAGGGTTAAGATCCCCTTACCAGTCATCTTTAAAAAAACAAACAAAAAACAATCACTTTGAATGCCAATGCATAAATGCACCAATTAAAAGACAGAAATTGCCAGAGTGAATCAAAAAACAAGACCCAACTATATGTTGTCTAAAAGAAATCCACTTTAAATATAAAAACACATATAGGTTAAATGTAAATGGAAGAATAAAGATATATCATGCTAATATTAATCAAAAGAAAGTGGTAGTAGTTATATTAATTCCAAACACAATAGACTTCAAAGCAAGGAAAGTCATCAGGGATAAAAAGCATTACATAATAATAAAGGGATCAGGCTGGACAGTTAGCTCAGTTGGTTAGAGCGTGGTGTTATAACACTAAGGTCAAGGGTTTGGATTCCCCTTACAGCAAGCTGCCAAAAATAAATTAATTAATTAATTAAATAGAGGGATCAATTTTCCAAGAAGACATAACAATCCTTAAAACGTATGCACCTAACAACAGAGCATCAAAATACACAAGACAAAAACTGATAGAACTGCAAGGAGAAATATATGAATCCACTATTACAGTTGGAGACTTCAACACCCCTACATCAGAAATGGACAGATCCAGGGCTGGCCAGTTAGCTCAGCTGGTTAGAGTGCAGTGCTGTAACACCAAGGTCAAGGGTTCAATCCCTGCACCTGCCAGCCCCAAAAAACAAAATGGACAGATCCAGCAGGTAGACAATCAGTAAGGAAATGGTTGAACTCAACAATAATACCAGTCACCTGTATATAATTGACATCTATAGACTAACTCATCCAACAACAGCAGAATACACATTCTTCTCAAGCTCACATGGAACATTCACCAAGACAGACCATATTCTGGGGCATAAAACACACCTTAACACATTTAAAAGAATGGAAATTGTAAAATGTCTGCTCTCAGGCTATAACGGAATTAAATCAGAAATCAATAACAGAAACATAGGTCAAAAGTCTCAAAATACTTGGAAACAACCCACTTCTAACAACACGTGGTCAAAGAAATCTGAAGAGAATTTTAAATATTGGGAACTAAGTGAAAATGAAGACACAACTTATAAAAACTGTGGAATGCAGCAAAAGCAATGCTTACAGGGAAATTTATAGCATTGGACAGGAACTGAGGGCAGCCCCCTCTCCACCTGGAAGCAGGCAAAAGAGCATGCCAAAAACACCACTTCCATGTGGGTGGCCCACCACAGCCACTATCACAAAAGCAGCTGCCACAAAAGTGACTCAACACAACAGCAGTAGCCACAGCCATTGTGCAGGTGGCCCACCAGACACTTGACTGCATTGACACATCAGTCTCCAGCAGAGACCAGAAAAAGAGGAAGTCTCTCTCCTCAAAGCCCACTCCAGAGTGACAGAAGAAGCAACTGCTCTACCAGATAACCACACATCAATGTAGAGAAACTGGAAATACAAAAACCCAAGAAAATATGACACGACCAGAAGAATACAATAATTCTTAAATACCAGACCTTATACAGTGGGAAACCCTTGAAATGACTGACAAGGAATTCTGAGCAACAATCTTAAGGAAACTCACTGAGATATGAGAAGACTCAGTTACATAGCATAATAAAATGAGAAAAAAAAATCCAGGATATGAAGGAGATTAATACCTTAAAAAAGAATGTAGCTGAACACATGGAACCAAAAGGTTGACTCAAGGAAATAAAAAACACACCTGGTAGCTTAAGCAGCAGGCTAGAACAAGCAGAAGAAAGAATTTCTGATCTTGAAGACAGTCTTTTCAAAATAACCCAGGAAAAAAGAAGTTTAAAAAATGAAGAAAATCTGAGAGAGCTATCAGACAACCTTAAACTCACAAACATTCAAATCATGGGTGTTCCAGAAGTGGGGGAGAATGGAAAAGGCATGGAAAACCTACTCAATGGAATAATAACGGATACCATCCCAGATATAGGGAGAGGCAAAGATCTTCAGATCCAGGAGGCTCAAAGATCCCCAAACAGATTCAACCCAAAAAGATCCTCTCCAAGACACATTATAGTCAAATGGGCAAAGCTCAAAGACAGAGAGAATCTTAAAAGAAGCAAAAGTGTCATGTCACCTATACGGGAGCCCCTATCAGACTAACAGCAGACTTCTCAACAGAAATTCTACAGGCTAGAAGAAAATAGGATGAGATATTCAAAATACTAAAAGAAAAAAACTGCCAGCCAAGAATACTATACCCAGCAAGGCTATCCTTCAGAAGTGAGGGGAAAAGAGTATATTTTTCAGACAAACAAAAACTGTGGGAGTTCGCCACCACACAAGTAGCCCTACAAGAAATCCTCAAGGAAATCCTACATCTGGAATACAAAAAATGATAATCACTACCATGAATACACAAGAAAGAATGAAATCCACATGGAAGAACAAAAATGCAAATGAGAGAGAAACTAAATCTTACCACGACCAAATAACATAATGAAAATGTAATAATGCTCCTGCTTTACTTCTGATTTTAGTAGTTTCAGTTTTCTCTCCTTTTTTCTTTGTCAGTCCAGATAAAGGTTTGTAAATTTTGTTGCTCTTCTTAAAGAATCAACTTTCAGTTTTGTTGATGTTCTCTATTGTTTTTTAATACCCTGTTTCACATATTTCTGTTGTAATCTTTGTTATTTCCTATTTATACTTGCTTTTGGTTTAGTTTGCTCTTCTTTTTCTATTTTATTAAGGTAGAAGTTTACATTGCTGATTTGAAATTTTTCTTATCTTAAATATAGGTGTTTACAAGTATAAATTTTCCTCTAAGCACTGCATGAGCCCTGCATCCTGTAAATTTTGATATGTTGTGCTGATTTTTATCTTGAAGTACTCTCTAATTTCCCTGTGATTTTTCCTTTTACCCATTATTTATTTAGGAGAGTGTTTTTTAATTTCCACCCATTTTTGAATTTTCTAAATTTCCTTTTGTTATTGTGCTTCAGATAACTCTTTTTTTTTTTTGGTGGCTGGCTGGTACAGAGAACATATTTTCTATGATCTTAGCCTTTTAAAATGTATTGTTTTGTGGCCAAAAATAAAAATAAAGAAATTTATGGCATTGAATAAATATATTAGAAAAGAAGAAAAATACAAAATTGATACTCTAAGCTTCCACCTTAGGAAACTAGAAAAGGAAGAGCAAATTAAATACAAAGTAAGCAGAAAAAAAATAATAATAAAAATTAGGGCAGAAATCAATGAAAGTGAAAACAGGAAATCAATAGGAAAAAAAATGAACAAAACCAAAAGCTGGTTATTTGAAAAGATCAATAAATCAATAAGCCACTAGCCAGGCTAATAAAAAAGGAGAGAGGACAAAGTTACACTACCCTGTATGATACTATAATGGTGGATACATGTCATCATACATTTGTCTAAACCCATAAAATGTACCAAGAATGAATGAGGATATAAACTATGTTCTTTGAGTGGTAATGTGACAATGTTG